AAAGTTTTTGCTGTTATTTTGTTGTTGTTTTTATTGTTCTTGTTGTTTATACTGCTGCTGCTGCTGATGCTACTATTATCATCATCACTATTACTACTACTACTGCTAATACTACTCTGCTACTGCTAATCCATTATCAGAACATTAAGAACGGATGCCTACCTGTCATCGGGCAACAACAGTTGTCTGATTTGTGCCGACGAATTTTTGCTCGATATTCCCAAATTTTGAACTTTGAAAACCTGACGAATTGACGGACTGGTAACCTTTAATTTAAATTTGAAAAAAAAAAAGTTTTTTTTTCCTTTTCTTTTTATTTTGCTCTGTTTCATTCTAATAAGAACAGCAAAAACAGAGGAGAAAAAAATTTGACAACATTAACTTCTTAGAGTTCATCTGTTTTGTTTAATAGACAATGACAACTGTAAAATGCAATCTAAAAGCATTGTCCGTTATGTATTTAGTATGATCTCTATACTTCAGCGTCAAAACAAAAAAAAAATAAATAAATCAACCAAATCTTGAATTTACAAACAAATAACGAAAAAAGTTATTCAAAAACCTTTTTTTTATTTAGTTAATAGCTTCTTTTTTTGTCAATTTTAATTTGTTGCTACTCTTTCTTGGAAAAAAAGATCATTTTAATTGAACAACAACAACAACAACAATTACATTGACTTTGTCATTGTCGATTTCTGTGGAACATTCTGTGACTGTAACCTTTGGCCTTCGTGTCAGTCGCAAATAGTGACCAGTTTCCGATGAACTACATTTTTGCTGTTGTTCCAAACAGCTTAAAACCTTGGAATCCGAAGCATTATCAACTGTACCACTGTTATGATCGTCATTTGTAGAAACAACTGACTGCTGTTGTACAACTGATGTGGTCTTAGCTGAAGCCATCGATGAACTATCACAAATTTTGTCGTCGTGATTGACGATTATGGGAATAACCGACGGTGGCTGAGCAATAGCCGAAGATACTGTTGTAGCAACGGTAGTATTGTTTTCTGTTAAGCAATTTAATTTTGATGTTGAAGGAGCACAATTTTCTGTGATATTTGCTGCTGCCGTTGAACATTTTAATGAACATTTTGCTTTATCGGTTGCCAATTTTTCAATTGGTATAACAGTTGTCAACACTTCAGGATTTGCAATATTTTCATTCTCATCCGTACAAATATCCTTTTTGTTGTTGCCGCTATTCAGTTTGTTTTCAGCTTTTGGACAACACTGTTGATGATTTTTCCAATCATTTTTTAACTTTGGTTTTGGTAACAACGATGGTTTTTGTCGGCCATTTATATTTCGTGGAGCTGGAATTGGTTTTACCGCTGTTATGGCTTCTATATTATTATCTTCAGTTGCAGTTGTTTTAGCAGTTTTAGTAACATTTTTGTCTGCTGTGGCAGTATTACAGTTCTGATGATTCTCAGCCTTTATCAGCTGCCGAGGTAATGGCAATGGTCGATGTGCAGTATCCGCAATTAACATTGACCAACGGTTGCAGTGTTAATGCCACTGGGAATAACAGCAACAACAACAACAGTCAACGACAGTATAGTCGACGACAGCAACAGTAATGGCAACAGCAACAGCAACCGTAATAATATAACGACGATAATAATAACGATAATAAAATAGCAGCAGTAACGGGACAGCGGGCAATAAATGATTACGGCATTTCAACGAATCAATGAATTTGACAGAAAAAAAATTTTTTTTTTTTTTTTGCCCAACAAAAGTCATGAAATTCTTACACAGAATTCATAAATAAACATGAACAATCGTAAAGTTCAGATATCTTGCTCTTGTGGCCTCCAACTTCCTCCTGAATTCTTCATTGTTTCCAAATAAATGCAAAGAAAAACAAGAAAATAAAAAAACAGAAGCTTATATCTATCTACTGTACTAATCCTTCAGCAGATGACTTTGTTGATCATTGAGCTGAAAGTTGAACATTATTAACAATCATCAAACAACCAAAAAAAGTAATCTTTAATTAGCTTAAGGTAATCGAAAAAGTAAAGTCCTTTCACCGTTAACATAGGGTAACATTGATCAACAGCATACCTCTAAATCAAATACATACGCAAATACACGCATATATAACCATCCATTATCGCAGACACGTATTTGAAATCACCAAAATCAACTAGACCATTAAAAAACGACAAGCAAATAAAAAGTAAAATTTTTCTCCAACTTTTCCAACACTTTTCTATGCGTTTCTGACAGAAAGTTTCTATTATAACTCTAGATAAAAAACTCAACTTTAAATTCTTTCCATCAGTTAATCACTTTTACCCAATTTCCAGCGGAATTCCGAGGAAAACAACGAAAACGACAAAAGGATAACGAGCCGAAGTAAAACTACTAGAAGCTTCATTATGGTTAGTGTAAGTAAAAATTTATGACTAATATGATGACCGACTGACTGTTCAAATTTCAGGCTACCAATTCCTGCCACCATTTTATTCGCCGTCTCCCGATGATTGGTGACGATGATACTGTTACTTATTGTCGCAATACCTCTTTTCCATAAAACTATTTTAACTGTTGATTAGATTACAGTTTTTTGTTCAATTTCGGCTCTTTTCTCCTCTTTCTCTCTTTTTTTTTTCTTGTTTTAAAGCCTATACTTTTAACAAATTTTATACGAACTAGAACTGAAAAAAAGAAGCGCCAAACCAACTGTGGTTAGTGAATGGAAGAAGAGTATGACAAAAGTATCAAAAAAGAGAATATATTTATGTATATATCACGAAAAATTGACAAAATTCTCTCTAAAACAGTTTAAAATTTTCTTCGCAACCGATATTATTGCTGCCGCTCCCGCAGCAAAAAAAAAAAAAAACATTTGGATTTTTTTTTCTGGCCTCCTAAGGCATCTTCTTTTTCCTTTAGAAAAAAAAAATTCGTTCAGCGTTTGGCTTCTAAATATATCCGCACAATGATTTGACCCCTTAAAAGAAAGAACTTTTTCTGTTTTCTTCAAAATTCATCTCCTCCATTATTCTTTCACGGAAAAAAATTGCTTTTCTTTTACACTTCTCTGCAACATGTGTATATCCCATCGTTAACCATCACAAACGAAATCCCCACACTTACATCTGCTAAACTAAACGGGAAAAAAAATCACTAACCAGATAAAATAAAAATAGTCAGTCCTCCTTCCACGCTGAACTTTTTCCAACAATAAAAAATATAAAAAATTCATATTTTTCAACAATTTTACGTTTTGCCATAGCCACACTAGCGATTACGTGGTTAAGAACAACACGGAAGATTCTGCCTGCCACACAATTATCACTAAATAAATGAATAGCATTTCCATACTGAAAAGAGATTTTCAAGATAGATACCGTAAACAGCAGGCGGGAATCTGATTACAGCTTAGAAGTTTCCTAAACTAATGCTGTAAACTTCCACTTAGATCCCTAAATAAACCCCACTAAAGAAGTACACAGCTTTTTTCAAAGACTCTTTTATAACGTTCTAAAAATTTATGCCTTCCAAAACTATTCATCATCATTTTGTTAGACAAAAAAAAAAAAACAAGTCGTCATTTTTTATTAACAAAAATGCTATACAGTAAACAGAATTTAACATTAAAATATTCTAAGACATACAGGCAGCGGGGTGTCATCGTTTTCTGCAGAAATGATTAGCAGAGGCAAACACAGTGTAAAGAAGGGCAGTTAAAGTATAGCTAAAACAATCTGAGTAAATAAAAATAGAAAAAAAAAAAAAGGAAAAAACACTTTAAAAAAAAACAGCTTTTTCAAACGAACCACTATTATATTGTCGTTTTCTTAGTGAAATATGTGTTTGTGTAGTGATCACGAAATAACCAAAAGCCTAAGAAATAAGGAACTTATAGCAACAGCAAATCGAAAAAATCCCAATTTCTCAGTAAAACAATTTTTTACTTCGTCCCTCAACTTTTTGTCAATAGTGTTCACCACTAAGTAAATCAAACTTCTGACTTTTTTTTATTTGGGAAACCAACTCTTCTGTCCTGTTAATTCAATTAAGCAGTAGTTTTGAGCTAATCAGCATCTTTTTTCTTGATATCAAGAAAATCAATTTAATCAACCGGAACAACAACAGTATCAACCAGCCAACTAAGTTAATCTGTGATCAGTACTGTTGTTTCTAATCTTACTGCTGATTTACCTAATCCTGGTGTTACAGATCAAAAAAAAGACAAAACTGGAATGAAATATAGAGAGCTTCCGCACAAAAAAAGTAAAGAATAAGCTAAAAAAAAGACAGAAATTAGACTAATATAATGAATCAAAAAGTAACTTTAATAAAAACAAATAAAATATATAATCGCCAAAGGAAAAAAATAAAGTATTCCTGATGTTCAACAAACACAAACATATCATTTTTCATATATATCGGCAAATTTGATCGGTACTATTTGAACTACGTTCTTTTCCCATCAAACGCACAGCAAGCTCAGTGTGCAGATACATAGTTTTGGGTTCAATTTCAAAAAAAACTTTAAACAGCACAAAAACAACTTTGTTCCAAATTTAGACTAAAAAGCGAAAAAAAAGGCAAACAAATTAAAAAACAAAAAAAAAAAAAATCAAGAAGATTACTGATGACACTGACAACAACAACGACAATCAAAAACAGGAAACAACTTAGGTTGCTTAAAAACATCAAACCAAAGTTGTCAGACGGCTAAAAAACCAGAAACAGAAATTGCAGGAAAGAAAAGTTATAATGAAGAAAAGAAAATTCAAAAACATTATGCATTCATTTTATTCTGCACAAAAACCATTGTCGTCCCCCCTCATCCAATTTTTCCCTCATCTGTGTTCAGTTTCACAGCTTTACAGCATTTACGACCTCTTTCATAATTAATGGCAAAATGTCAGATATCATAACTTTTGACTGCTAGTCGTCACAACTGAGGTTTTAATCATCAAAAGAACTAACTGAATTTATGCAGACTTTTTGTCATTCTTCAAATTACAGCAGCAAAAACTAACTGAGTACCCTCGAAAATGTATCAATTTCAAGTATATAATTATTAAAGGCTGAAGCCAGTAAGAAGAGGCAGTAAAAGAGCCTGCATAAATAAAAGAACAAATTTGCTGCAAAAACGTTTATGCCCTCTCTTCTCTTCTTCTCCACTTTTCTGCTATCCAAACACACTTGGAAAATGAAAATGAGCATAAAGAAAGGCTTGAAAATTATAGCAAAACAAAGAAAGAACCTTTCTTTTTTGAAAATGTCCATAAACTATCGTTATTTTTAAACCGCATTCCATTAATGGTAAACAATATTACTGTTTTATTCAACTTTTAATAATACGTTTTCCAATCACAAATCAATAGTAAAAATGACATATATAGAAAAACAGCGAAGAAAAAAAAAAAGAAAGATCGATGTGTGTCGATTAAAGAAGCGTTAAGACAAAACATAAAAACTGCATTCTTTTTTTTTTTTCTGTCCTTCTGTCGGTTAAGTAAACTTTGTAAACAGGTTTTTTTTTTTGTTTTCTTCTGCTTCCAAAGCTGTTAAAATTTAAAGTTTAAAAAATTTTAGTCAAGAATAGGTAAATTAGCAAATGTTGCAAGTTTTATTTTCAATCACAAACAATCTCACCTATCAACAACAGTGAAACCAAACGCGGACTATTGCTAAACAAGATGAAACTAACTGTTCGGTGCTGTGTTAAGTTGGTTGACGTTTACAATTCAAAAAATAAAAAAGTTTCAGTAGACATTAAAAAAATTATAAATTAAAAGCTTTTTTCTCCCCTACGACCATTATTAATCATCATTTGGTTTTTTTTTTTTTTTTTTGCTCTTGATTAAGTTTCAAAATTTCATCAGCTCTGTCGTTCTTATTTTGAAAACAACAATATTGAAACCATAATCAAAAAGTTTTCCAAATAGTTTCTTAGCAAAAACCAAAAAAAAAAAATTATTTTGCTATTCCCATATCAAATTTAAGCACAGTTTTATTTGATACAATTTCCCGTTAGTAATCAACAAAAAATTCTCTAAACCACCTAATTTTATTTTTCGATCTTTCCTGATAGTTTTCAGCACTTTTTTTTTTTCATTTTCAAGAACATACAATTAGGGAAAATATGGAGAAGCGATAAGAGAAAAAATAGATGAGAAAAAAACCAGCAGCAGGAACAGTAGCAATAATAGCAAAAAAACAGTTTTTTTTTTT